GTTTAACATCTGCCTTGAGAGATCAGGGGCCTGTGTCACAAAACAAGTCCTGCTTAGACAGGGTTGCTGACTTTACTATGCAAAACAACCAGTAAATCTTCACAGGTCTTCATAATTGTAATATGTAATGACAATAAAGGTAAAATAGTAAGGAAAAAAGTTTTATTGTGGACTATTTTGCCTTAGAACATCAGAAATGTACCTCTCCACCATGAATGGATGAAAAAAATATGTTGTAAGCCAAAACCTTCCCTCAGACCTGTCATAAAACTATGTCTCAGGCCTCGGACAAAGTATTTATAACTACTTAATGCAATAACTTTCTGTAAAGTCGCTCTCAGAGACATTAAACTCTTCAGATGTCTCGTTCCTATCACCACCACTGCGAATAAATCTGACTTGGTACATTTCTCTAGAATGGGGCATTTCACATCAAACTGCTCTAAATGACTTTGTTTACATCTTAAACATTTATTTATACTGATCATTTTTGTATTTAAAATATGTGATATTTCTCTTTAACAACATGGTTTGTTTCCTCTGCTGAAAAGTAACATTTTTCATGTGATTGACACCACAAACATCACATAAACAAAAAAGTGACCCAAGAAATGACTTCTGACTTACTGTCAGAAACTGAGCTTTGATTGGTCCAAGAGCTTTTTATGATCCAAAATCCAGAGTTTAACCTGCCTTAGAGCAGGTTAGTCCTGCAGAATAAGTTGCCATGGTGATGCAAACCATCGTCTACAACAGAAAATCCAGGGATAGACTGAACTAAGCTTAAAGTTAGCAGGCTGAGCAAGAAATGCAGCTTAGTGAGACAGGATCTGATCACAAGTGGACAGTGATGTGTATAGCCAGTTACACTTAACACTTCCATGGGTCTTAAATGCATCTCCAGTGAACACTTGTCATTGAATCTGACCACCTCTGAAGACACACTGGACCCTGTTTACGTCCGTCTTGTACTCAGCACTGTCTCCTTATGATCGGAACACCCAGGTTGCATGTTAATGCCAGGTGTGAACAGAGTCTAAGTGAGTAAATAAGCTCATGTGTAAAGGAAATTCAAATACTTCAAAAGGGTCAGAAAGTGAGAAAGGCCACAACCAGCTTATTTCATTTCATCAGTAACAAACTGTATTCTGAAAGAAGTTACATGTAGTCTGTTTTAGTTCATAAATTGCAAGACATACAAAACTCTGCGCAGTCAAGTTTAATCAGTAAAAAGCCAGTGATGGCTGCAATGCTCAAACCAAAAGACTAAGCTAAAAAAGAAGCACCCCAGTAGGTGGACAGGAGCACTCACTCAGAGCAAAGCCCATACCTTAAAATGCACCACTATTTATTAAGCCATGTCAGGAGCCACGGTAAAAATAAAAACCCACAGTACATCCAAAAGTATCCAGATACCCTTGCAATGAGTGAATTCAGCTACTTTAGTGTTCACCCATGGCTGGCACAGGGGTTTAGTTGCCCTCAAAGTTGCCCTATAATCTTCATAGAAAAGCACTGACCAATAGATTGGGATGCTCTGGACGGGGGATGGACAGCATGACCAATGCCAAGCATGGGCTAGAGGAGTATAAAGCTCCCCAGAGTTGGGCCATGGAGCAGTAGAACTGTGTTCTCTGCAGTGAAGGAGCTCCACAAAGTACCTTTGGGATGAGTTGGAGTGATGTTTGTCCAGAACTAATCATCCAACATCCGTTCCTGACCTTACTAATGCTCTTGCGGCTGAATGCCATCAAATCCTCGCAACAATGTTCCAACATCTACTCTTCCCAGAAGAGTAGAGGCTGTTACTGCATCATAGGAGGACCAAACTCCCTCATAACTAAGAGTCAGTATACAGACCTAACAGGTCTACACCAATCAATGTTGAATTTGATTGGTAAAAGTCAGACTTTATGTGCAGACTGCAGAAAATCTGCCCTGCTTAAGTCAGATATGCAGAAAAATCAGATTTGAGCTGCCTGTCTGAATAAAACCTCGCTTTTTCATAACTTTCTAACCAACCTGCATTCCTGTGGCAGTGTGAGAAAGTAATGAAGTGAGAATGAGGATGGTGGCTGTTGTGGCTGTGCAAAAAGAAAATTCAGAAATAACAAGAAACTTCCAGCTAGTTAAAGTCAGAACCCCCCTAACTCCCCTAACCCCCGCCCGCCCCGACCCAGTCAGAAATCAGTGCAGCTGGCAGCTCTGAGCACACTAACAACCTTCAAATAACACCCCCGCTGAAAAAAAACACTAACAGGTGACAGTGTTCTTCATTGCCAATTGCTAACTAGTGAGGTTCGAAGAGGGTTATGGGAAGGACAGCAAGGAGAAACTTTTGGGTAGGAAACCAGAGAAAGATCATAAGCCACCGAAGCAGGCCTTCCATGCAAAACTCACAATGCATGACAGTAAACAGCAAATCAACAAACTCTTGGAAGCCCCAGTATTTCCCACTCTGCAGGAGGCACAGGTAAAAACCACTTCCGCTTTTAGAAACCTTGATCAGACAGAGATAAAGAAGCGACTGCATTATCCAAGAACCACCCTGGTAATGATCCAGCCTTATTCAGAGCTACAGCAGCTTGGTCTGTCGCATGGATACCGGCAGAGCCCTCTGATGATGTCGCTTTTATATAAGCCGATCGAAAGGCGAGGAAGGGAGGGCAGGGTTCTGTGGGTGTTGGGGTGAGGTGGTGAAGTCAAACTGCTGAGCGCTTCTTTACAGCCAAGTTTGCATTTATCAGCAGAGAAAGAATCTCTGTATGAGCGGAGGAATATTTACTTGGCACGGTTCCTGTGACAAGATATCAGAAGTTCATCTTAAAAACACAAACCCTTCTTAGATTCTCTGCTAAATGAACTCACTAGATTCATATGTGTACCTCTTTTCTATATGAATAGAAAATATATTACATCAAGAAAATTGACCATTTGCAAAATAATGATTGACATGCCGCTCATCCAATCACTATCCTGCTAGAAAAAACAGCGTAGACCAGTATCGCTGGTCACCAGCAAAACCAGCATTTGTTGAGTTTTAGACGCTGGTATGTTAATATGCTGGTTAGCAGCAATAGAGATTAACATTGCTGTCGTCGCAAAACCCTGTATCTCGATTTTTGTCATTTTTCACTTTTGACATAATCTGAAAATGCCTGTTGCCCTTTACAGTTTATGTAAATATCATAATGAATAGACCAAAAGAAATGGCCCAGAATTACTTGGAAACAGTCTGGTTACATTAACTTACATTAAAAGTAAAGTATGTTTTTTCCTTCTCCTGTAAAGTTCATCATTTTGGAGATATTTGGTTTTGTTCCAAAAGCTGATCATCAGCAAAACCAGAATATTGTCACTGTCCAAAGAAAAAGAAGTATCTCCAAAATGGTAACTTTACAGCAGCGAGAAAAATAACTTTTAATGTAGTTTAATGTTTAACTTTTTTATTACTTTTAATGTAGGTCAATGGAAAGAGATGTCATTTTAATCAATGCTGTTGTATGAATGGTGTAGAAAAAAAAAACTGCCAAAATGGAGACATAAGTTGGCACCAAACCAGCACTAGACCAGCGTAAACCAGCTTAGACAAGCTTAGACCAGCACTGAATGCATGTTGGACTGTGCTGTTTTTTTCAGCAGGGTGCTCTCTAAAAGCAATTTCCTCCATCGAGTGACTAAATTAGTCAGAATCATTAGACTAAAAGGAACATTTCTGAGGAACATGTAATTCAGGCATGCAATAACCTTTTTACCTGGAGGCTGGAGCTGTTTTTATTTTATTCCTATAGCTGAAAAGTTTTAGACTAAACTCTTTGGAAGACCAAACTGTTAGGAACTATACCTGTTTGATCTGAGGTAATGTTAAGATCAGGTAGCTAACCCAGATAGTCAGCATACATTGGTCCACTGGCTTGATAAGGTCGACACCTCACTAACTGTTTGCCACTGCTGGTCCACCCTCGGACCACCCAGATTACTGTCCTGCATGCAAGCTCTAACTAGTTTTTAATCCTGCCAAACAGATTTTAAATGCACAGAGACTTTTATTTCAGAAAATAAACTTAGACAAATATTACAAACAACTGAGAGAAAAAAAAAATATGACTAGGTCTAATGTAAAATGGTTTTATAGAAAATGTTGTTGCTGACACTGTGCAAGATTAAAATTACTCACTAAACTAATTTAAAAAGCGAACTGGACTATGAGTGTTATGGACTGGACTATGAGGAATTTTGTCTATCACTCTGCTTAAACACTCGTAGGCCGTCCCGGAAAACGCTGAGCAAAACACCAGCGGACTACCAGCTTTGCCATCAGTGGGCCAACCGTGGACTACAATCCTCTTGCTATCAGGAAGGTTAGCTTTTCTTAACTGTTGACAGCCAGCTTAATAGATTAAACATGACTGCACAGTGTTTGTTTTAGCAATTAAAACATTCTGTGTAAAGATAAATATTAATGTACTCATACGTGAGCCACTGTTTATAATGTTTCATAAAACTTCACTAAAAAAAACCTTGTGTGTGTGAGACGATGAGTCTTCTTCACTATCACAGAGTAGCTCCAGCACTAGCTTTAGCTTTACCTATATCACTAGCTCTAGCTCAGCCAGTTCATTTTTGAAGAACAAAACATTTTGAAATGTGTCCTTCTAGATTTTCTTTTGTGCTACTGAACTTTTTAGTCTGTTTGCGTGCTACGAAGGCTACCAGGTGGCCTGAGATAAAAGTTTGACAAACATTGCAAGAGTAACTCAGTGAGGCGGGTCAGAATTTCGCCAAGGGTCAGTTATTCCCAAAAGTAAACTGACAAAATTGTCTTTATGTACTCTGATTATTCATGTGGAAATGATGTAAACATTTGAATCACATAAATTCTATGCATTGTTGTTTTTAAGAGTTCTAAACTTTTGCCTGAGGTAAAAAAAAGCTTCATTTGATAAGAGCTGGAAATGCATGAATGGAATCCACTAAAACATGAGCCAAATATGACTTACCCACTCAGCACTACGATAAAATCCATGACATTCCAGCCGTTCCTCAGGTAGGAGCCCTTATGGAAAACAAACCCCAGGGCCACCAGCTTGATGCCAGCTTCAAAACAGAAGATTCCAATAAAGTAGGGCTCTGTCTTCTCCTATTGGGGCGTAGACAAACAAATATAAATAAACAAACAAGAGTGGAATGAAGTTTCATCTAGCATATGATATCTAGCACAGCTAGGTGCCGTTGAGCATTTGTTTTTGCGTTCATGATACATTTATATGCCTTTATTAAAGCAATAGCTCTGTTAGAAGCTAATGTTGATGACAAATAGGAGCGAACAAACAACCACCAATTAGAATTATGCAAATGACATCATGCTAATTGGTGGCTAGTTTCCATTCACTTGATTGACCTTGCTTGAATATCTTGACCAAACATGCAAATGCATTAGCTACATTAGCATGTTTGGTCAAGCTATTATTTTAGCTCACAGAGGAGAGGACATAAGCACTTCATTTTTAAAGGGGCTCTCCAGCCTAAATTAAGAACTTAACCATCACCATATCTCCTGTAAACATGCTTAATTGCCTCTTACAGTGGTGTTGCAGTGGTCTCTAAAGCAAGATTTCTGGTTTAGAGACTAAGTAAACCCCCTTCTGATGATGTATCGTAAAGGTGGAGGTAAAGTTTGAAAGACTACAGGTGTTTTTTAGGATGGATACCTTGAGGTCAGTATACTATTATTTTTCCTCTAGCTTTGCCAGTCTTTCTGGAAAGGTGTAAATTGTTTTGACAGCAGGGGGTTCTCACCCCTCCTCTTCCATACCTCTTTGCTCACTAGCAGCTCAAAAGTATCCATATCCCAGAAATCCTAATTTTCTTTGCTACTGATAAAATAATATAGTTTATAAATATATACACACTGATCAGGCACAACATTATGACCACCTCCTTGTTTCTACACTCATTGTCCATTTTATCAGCTCCACTTACTATATAGGAGCACTTTGTAGTTCTACAGTTACAGAGTGGAGTCCATCTGTTTCTCTGCATACTTTGTTAGCCCCCTTTTACCCTGTTCTTCAGTGGTCAGGATCCCCATGGACCCTCACAGAGCAGGTACTATTTGGGTGGTGGATCATTCTCAGCACTGCAGTAACACTGATGTGGTGGTGGTGTGTTAGAGTGTGTTGTGCTGGTACGGTTGTATCACACACAGCAGTGCTGCTGGAGTTTTTAAACACCTCAGTGTCACTGCTGGACTGAGAATAGTCCACCAACCAAAAATATCCAGCCAACAGTGTCCTGTGGGCAGCGTCCTGTGACCACTGATGAAGGACTAGAGGATGACCAACACAAACTGTGCAGCAGCAGATGAGCTATCGTCTCTGTGTATATATATATATATATATATATATACACTTCTTTCCAAGTCATTTTGGGTCATTTATTTTTATATATATATATATCGTACCTTTACCTATAGTAACTTTAATAGTACAACACTATTAAAGTTAGACCGTTTCTGTGATGTCGCTAAAATCAATGCATTTATGTTATTATTCATTTTTTTTTATGATGCACAATCCATGGCTCGTTTACATATATCAGTCTGAACGGCACAGTATCAAAAACAGCCTGTTTAATTTTAAGGGATAAGAAGAAGTTAGACAAAGGCCATGTGTAAAAATGGATTATGACACAAATGTCATACATGGACTTAATGGGACAAAATAAAACGCAATAAAAATGTAGGACAAAAAGCCTGTAAAGACCAATTCTTTACATTTTTTAATCATTTCCACAGTTGCTTCACAGCACTGCTAAGTGTAAAACCCAGCATGAAGATATGATACCAGGATTTCTCATTACGTGACGTAGAGTACATGCATATATTTGCAGTTGCCGCCCATGAATCATCTGAGACCAAGAAGTGTGGGCTTCACAGATATGACGTGTGATTGTATATTAAGCAAATGCATCTCTGCTTTTGTTGATGGGGAGGTAGTCATGACTGAAGAGTTCACACTTGTCCCACCTGGGCATTTAGACCATAAGCTGTTCTAGAAGAACTGACCCTATGACACTCCACCAATGACTAATACTGATGCACCATACAGTCTGTTGATATTAATACCACACAGAGCGAAGCCCAGTGAACGTCCACATAAACATCTATACGTCCACACAGCACTGCAGAGATTACAACCCATTAAACATTGTACCAGAGTGAGTTTATAACCAAATATCATGAAACAATCGGATTGATAAGCAGTGTGACTGATTTACCATTGTTACTGGTGTTGCACGTTTGAGCACTTGTATCTTTGGAAATAGATGATCGTTACAGAATTACTAGCCCTTTTAAAAGGGGGTAGGAGATAAAGTATTTATTAGTGCTCTCAAATTAGCATTCTTATCTATTAAACAGGAGCTGCAGAGGGCTGAGGCCCAAGACAATTTACCTTTATTAAAACCCCTTAAACTCTATTGAGTTAGTAGTCTTATGCCTCTTTGTCCAGTAGCTACAATAAAATACTCAGTAACTACTACAAAACTATCTTGATATTGACAGGAAAATGTCTCAGAAACACATCACTGATAAGTTTGCTTCCAAAACAAATTAAGAAAGCAGAAATGAGTGTCAGAAAGGGGCTTTGCAACCTAAAGCTAGATTTAAGTATGTTGTTTGTCATTATCCTGTGGTGCATCATTCACCCTCATCTGTTAGACAGAATTCACAATGTTATGTTGTTTTCATGTTTTATCAATGTTCTCTACATCCAAATAAATCATAAAAAAAAAAATCATTGGGAATCCCTGTGGTGTCAACCAATCCTGACTAGCATTAGTATAACTCTTGGCACAGTCATTCAACAAAATTATGAAGAAAACAGCTATCTTTATTAAGTATAAAATGACACCAAAGACAAGTTTTTACCCTTTCAGAGAGAGAAAAATGCTGAACTGAGGTAAAATATCTAGATAACAAACTGGCTGCCTTGCTACTTTTATCTTTTAGCTTGTTGTAATCATCTGACAAGTAATTTCTGTTGTTGTAATAATCCATTCTCTCTACTGATGATTTGAAGACAGTTAATACACTTCTACAGTTGCAAGAAGTTATTCAGCCTCCTAGAAGTAACATAAGCTAGCTGCCTTTCCTCTGCATTCACCAAGAAAACCACCATAAAACAGCTGTAAGTTTTTCAGAAGTTCCTCCCAACTTCAAGATACACCATCAAAATGGGGTTTTCCAAATCGTTCAATCAAAAATCTCCCTCTAGAGACTACTGTGGCACTGCTGCCGGACATGAGTAGGAATGTTTACAACAGCTTGTTTATTTAACATATTTTTTTCATTTATATAAGAAATGTAATTTTTTTAATATTATGTTTCTCAGTTGTTACTGTTATACTGTGTTTACCTTATCATTTATTAAACTTGATAAAACATTGAATCCATTTTTATCCTAACATCCAAAATACTATCACTGGGGTTGTTGAGAGTCTCCTAGGGCCCCTAGAAATGGTCCTGGATCTGATAAGTAAAAGCCTCACCAGTCTTTTGGACATGGGTGTCTTGTCCTCTCCAGGCAGATGCTGTTCCAGAGCCAGCACGATGCAGTTGGCGATAATGGTAGCCAAGATCATGTATTCAAATGGAGTAAGGTAAAGTTAAGGTCAACAAAAATCTGCTTACTTAAGATGAGGGCCAAGATGTAGACATTGAGAATGGACAGCATGCATACTTTCACATATGATTTACCAACAAACAAACAATCTCAAGCTCTGCAGTGATTTTGCTTCACTCTTAAAAACAAAAGTGCCAAAAAGAGTTCTTTAGGGAACCACTGTTGCTTCCTTAATGAACCTTGACCGTTTCTTCAGAGAACACTTTTTGGTAAATGGGATATATAAGTGTAAAAAACCTCCATATAATGAAAAGCTTCTTGTTTTCCCAACAACTGTACATCCAAGCCAGATACCATTTTGGAACCTTTATGTTTTTTGAGCTCTGGCTAGTCTAAAGGTGTTTTTGCACAAAGAACCAGAACGTTTGATAACAGGAACTGGAACTGTGCTTTGTCTATTGGCCATTGATGCATTACTGAAGGTTCCAGTGTTATAGTTTGGGTACCTACTCAGAATTAATACTAACAGGAGCTGAAACTAACAAATTTGTTGTTTATTGTTTCATGTCAGCCAAGTAAAGCTCCCTAACAAGCAAAGTAGCTTGATTAGCAATATTAGATTCTTTAGAGAGGCATAAAATAACAAAAATAGTTCATGGTTATATGACTGCTTAAGTTGTGTCTCAAACTGGGGGAAAATGAACTAGAACTAGAACCACCAGTAACATTGGTATTGCTTAGCCAAATGGTCAGTGGTTGAAATCGCAGTGTCACATCGCAATCTGCACTAATGATTTATGATGGATCTCCATAAACCATTTGCGCAGTGGCCTTTGTGCGTAGGCAGCAGTACTGCAAAAACCTAATACAGCTTCCAGGCCTTATGCTGCAGTCAAAAGCTTCTCTATGACTCTACTCTTAAAAATAAAGGTTCTTAAATGTTTTTTGGCTTGGAGGTATTGTTCTAGGAGAACATTTTGATTGGTACAAAACCTTTAGGTTCTTTAAACTTCAAAAAAGTTTCTTTGCTCTTGCATGTCTCATTTACAAAAAGGGTTCTTTAAAGAAATATCCTTTGAAAGGATCTTCAGGGAACCAAAAGTGGTCCTTTTATGGCTTCACTCCAAAGAACTCTCTATTTTTAAGAGTGCTCGATAAAAGGCCATAGACCTACAGCAGGATAGAACTAGAAGTCCAGCATATATTATACAATTCATCCTATTATGAATCCCTAATGAGATTTTCGCAATGCTGAAATCCTTTGGATGGAACATGATTACTCGAGTGTGGAGTGTCTTCGGAGACTGAGTAATTTTCCCCTCCATTATTAATTTCTTGCCACCACCATAAATGGTGTCATGAACCCACAACGGACGCCATGATGAGGCTGTGGGATTTTGAGTGATTCACACTGAGAGGACGGCGTCCACACAACAACGAGCTGCTATAAATAGCCCTGGTAGAAGAGAACTTCCCACATGCAGTTCATTCTTTACTCCATCTTCAATCAGCTTTATGTAAAAGGGCTTCATAAAGGCCAAAAACAAACATCTCATTAAGCATCGGAGGAGACCATGGTCAGCATCGCTCGCTGTGGCTTTTCATTTTTCATCATTTGTGGCAAAAATGATCAAACACATGAAGGTTAGAGGTGTCAGAGAGATCAAACAAAAGGGAATGACATATATATCAGATGTGAAAGAGCGCTGTCACACTGTCAGCAGTACAGAAAAACATCACTGTGAGATACTGTCACTGAAAGCAGTAACACACAGCCAGCCCAAAGACATGGCATTGGAACTCTAGGCTTTTCAGTTATACTGTGCATATCTCATTAGAATTAGATTTGATCACTAACTAATGAGTGAAAATGATTATCTGGAACAATCTATCTAATTATACACGCCAGCTAGTTTCCTGGAAAAAACATTAAGCCTAGTTCTGGACTGAATTACTCTGATAATGGTTGTTCTCCACTGAGTAATCCTACATCCTAATCCTGAATAATCGTCTGGAAATGAACTGGATGCCCTTAAAGAGAAAATTCCACCACTTTTTCCACATTGTTGGGATGCAATCAATGTTATTCAGAATGGTTTGATGTGAAATGTTTCACTGCAGAGAATTTCTTTACAATGTAAGTGAACCAGGACTCACAAAGTCTACAAATACAAATGTACTCATTTTATTCAGCATCAAAAATGACCAGTGAACCTGCCTGGTTTTATATGTAATGTTGATAATGGCAAAATAATGGTAAATAATGGTGAATCTGAAAAAATAAGCTCTCTTTTGGGACTACTTGGCCTCAGCACCTTGCATATAACCTTCCACCATGAACCAATTTCAAAAAAATACATTTCAGGTCAGAATCTTAGGTCAAAACTATCGTAAAACAATGTCTCGGCATCAGGCAGTGTATTCATGACCTTTTCATGTAATAACTATAATGTAGCTTTTATAGGTGTAAAACTCTTCAAATGTCTGGTTCCTATCACCACCACTGTGAACAAGTTTCCCTAGAACGGAGCATTTCACACCAAACCACAAAGGACTTTGTTTACATCTTAACCATCTAATTATGCAGAGATTTTGAAAAGAAATGGTTCATTGGAGTGATGCTACTTTGGGCTCCCTAAAGAGCCCTTCAGTGGATGGAACCATCCTAAATGAGACATGTATGAAAAACCATTTTACAGTTTTAAGAACTTCCACAGCTCAATGCAAACTGTAGATCAAAGCCAAGAACCATTTGAGAACCTTTATTATCCTGTAAATAAATCTGGTTGTCTTGCATCCTATGATAGGCTGTAAATGAAACATTTGGCCAGTATTTATACAACATCTGCAAGCAGAAGTGCTGATGTAGGCTTATGTTCCTTTTTACTCCATATTGAGTTTAGCTACAAAAACGTATTCTGGGTCAGCAGCCCAGCTTCTATTTGCTACCACATATAGTTGCCGCAAATAGATACTGGAAGCACCAAAACAGAGCCAAAGTCACCCCACAACCTGCTCTTAGCTTAATAATAGTCAACAGGGTATCTGTAATAAGCATATCTGCTATATGTTTTAGTGGTTTAGCTCTGCTGTAGTACTGAAAACGGGCCTGACTGGGGATTTAAGTTTAGTCTAACTATCAGTTTCAGCAGAAAGGGACAATCACCTGTATGCCTCCAGCTTAGAAATTTGCTCCAACAACTAAAACTGATGTCTTAAGTCAACAAAATGCACACAGAGCTCTGCATACAGGAATGAAAGGCTGCAGATGTGAAGCATGTCTTTTCCTCAAGCTACACTTGTATTTCAGATCAGGTTCAGTTTACATAAACTTGTATACTTTTTCAACTTGAGAGTTCAGAGCTGATCTTTTACTCAGTAATAAGCTAATATGTGATGTTCTGAATCCACATTTCAAAGAAAGCAGCTAAGATGACCCCAACATAACCCCTAACTATGGACACAACATCCAAAGCTCTGTCAGTGTCAGGGTTACCTCTTTGCTGTTGTAAATCTTGTAAAAGCTGCCTTTTTTTTACATTTTTGCTGCCTGTAAGTGAAGTTATGCATGGCGTGCCTATCAGTTTTCCCAAGCTCATAAGCAAAGTATTGTCTTCAGTGAGTCAGTGGGCGTTTCACAGGCTACCATAAACAAAAAGTGTTTACCAGTGGTGCAGTGCGGCTTTTAATCCAACAAAACATGGCAACTTTCCACAATCGCAAACAACTGAAGCTCCAGTGTATCCAATGGGCATAACCAGTAGAACAGAACCCAAAGTAAATGACAGCATTTTCCCTATTCACGACTACTATGGCCTACTTTCCTTCTCCTCATAACAAAACAAACATTGGGCCTCATTCACCAATATCTTCCTAAGTTTTTTTTCTTAAATTGGTCTTTGAGGTCTGAAGAGAAAGTCAGATTCATGACGTTCATTAAGCGCAGAATTGTTCTTAAGTGTGCGTAGATTCTGTTCTAACCTAATCTCAACTAACACTACATTGGTGTCAGAATAATCGTAAAAACTGCATAAGTTGGTGAACGAGGCCCATTGACTTTGAGCACACGTGCCTGGTTTGAGACCACATGGACAATTCGGAGCTTGTTTGTGATCAAACGGACAATTCCGGCTACAAAGTCCAGCTCCAGTCTTAAAGCTCCAGTGTTCTTGCACAGTTTCAAGCGATCCCACCCACAACACCCCCTGATCCAAGTTATGAACAGCTTGAGAGTTGGCTATTGAGTTGGATCAGGTAAGCTAAGAACACTTACAACTGTGCAGGGTAGTGGGTTCTCAAGAGCTAGAGCTGAAAACGCCATTGTTCTAGACACACTTAGAAATGCTAACGCGCTGTCCATGGTACTGATGCTCACCACACCAAGGCCACACACAGCAAATCAAGCTTAACAGCCTCTAACCTGCAAACCTATCAGCCTCAGCCAGCCGTGTTTTAGTCTCCTACATTGTGCAGAGCATAAACACGCAACGCAGTGCGTAACCAAAGGATATGGCCACTCTATGATCCTCCTCGCGTACTTTCTGATGATGTTGTTCTCGGCGAAGATGAACAGGGACCTGTTGACGGTGAGGCAGTTGTGTCTGGCCGGGGTGGGGTTGTAAAGGGCCATGGTGCGCGCGCGCTGAGCCTTGGCTTGCTTCGCCTCTCCAGCGCTCGCCTCGGCGCCGTTCCCCTCGCGCTCCGCGCCCATGTCTCGAGGCGCTTCGCCTTCAGGCTGGCCCATGCTGCGGACGTGGACGACGCGGGTGCAGAAACGAACGCAAAACGTCCCACCTTCACTCCATACCAATGTCCGCTACGCTGGACAGACGATGCTCTTGCAGTCCAGCTGCTTACATTCCATTCACTTTTCTTTCTTCCCTTCTTTTTGCTTTGTTTTTTAGGAAAGTTGACCGCGTTGATGTTGACGTGGGATCTCCAAGAAGCAGCGCAGGAAACAAGGTCGACGTGGCACGTGCATCTCCAACTGGACCCTCCACCTGGACTGGAGAAATGAGAACTTTCTGTCGCGACGTCCTGAGCAGGACTGGGTTTTCAGCAAACGCGGCTCATCTCGAACCTGCTTCTTCTGGCTCTTCTTCCCAATTTCTTGGTCGTCGTTATCTGTCCTTGCTGCCCTCCACAGCACGCAGGACAAGCAAGGGGTCGCCGGCCAGGCGCACAAAGGCAGCGCAGGAGAAATCCTGTGCGCTCGGTTAGCTCTCACTTTGTGGGCGCGATCATCAGCAGCTCAGAAATCCTTCAACACTCCACCTCCCCCCCTCAGCACCACCAACACCACCACCACCACCACCCCCCACCACCACCATCCATCCACTACCTTCTCCCACGGATTTGAGCGCAGCAATTCATTTATTTCCCCCAGGCACATTGGGACATAGGAAAATCAGTTACCATGGCAATCTGTGTACTCTCAGCTTCAGTCTCAATACTGTATTGAGTGCACGCAATGGGAGTAAACAGCTCTTGTACATGTATGAATTAGGGTGGGAACAAAGTGAGATGTTTCTACAGAAGCTGATGAAGGTTCTTTTTTTCTCTTTTTCTTTTTTGTAAGAGGTTAAGTTTCCTAGCTTGCATCTGTAGGACGCAGAACCTTTAAACCTATTCCGGGTTCTTTCTGTCTCTAATTAGAAAGAACATTATGCAGGCAGATGCAGGCGTGATCCAGCCTGCTTGTTGTTATATCATCTCTGTGGGTGCAACCTGTTGGCCGTGTTCCTATCTGCTTTCTTATGCCTCTATCCAAAGGCAAATGCGAGCAAATCAGCCTTTGATCGGAAGATGTTAACGGATCAGATCATCAAAGGATGGAGGGTTTTTGTGTCTTTGTGTAGCTCCAGTTCATTAATAATATCTCCTTTGTTCCCAGTTGGGAATATAACCTATTTAAACATAACCTATTAAGTGAAACCCCTGCGTGTACAGTGGAGTCAAATAACAAGATGCATCAGTACCGTGTCTTGTATCTTAATGCTGGTCTGCTGAACACAAGATGTCCTTTTACATTGAAAGGTCTGTGTCTTCCTGAGCTCATCAGCGCAGATCAGGACTTCTTCTGTTAGAGTGATAGTTCAGATCTGCATTTACACCATTTCCCCCCTCCTTACCCCACATTACACTTTAAAAGGATGGTTCTTCAAGGGTTCTTTAGAAAAGACAATGGTACTATATAGAACCATGAACACCTTTTTGCAAAGGGTTCTATATAAAAGGGTTCCACTATTGTTACAAGCCAAAGAACCCTTTTTTTAGGTACTATATAGAGCCCTTTTGCTAAGAGTGTATATCACACTTTAAAAGGATGGTTTGTCAAGGGTTCTTCAGTAAAAGGAATGGTACAGTCTTAAAAATATTGGTTCTTCAAGGGTTCTTTAGTAAAACCTGTGGTACTATATAGAACCATGAACACACAAAGAACCATTTGCAAGATTAAAGGGTTCTTCGCATCATGAAATGATTCTTCAGATTGATAGAGAATGTGTTGCAGATGGTTCCCTAGGTTTTATATTGTACCAAAAAGGGTTCCAACTCTTTTTACCAGCCAAAGAACCCTTTTGTTGTACTATATAGAACACTTCTTTGCCAAGAATGTATATCAGGATGGTTCTCCAGTGGTTCTTTAGTAAATGCAATGGTAAAAAGATGGTGCCTTAAGGGTCCTTTAGTAATGAAAATAGTTCTATATAAAACCATGAACACTCAAAAACCCTTTGTATGGTTAAAGGGTTCTTTGCATCATGAAAGTGTTCTTCAGACTAATGGAGAATGTGCTGTAGATGGTTCTATATAGCACCTAAAATGGTTCTTGTATTGCTACAATATCAAGCTCCTAAAAATAGAAGAACGCTTTTGGGTGCTATGGAGAACCATTTTCAAATAGGTTCTATATAGAACAATCTATAGCACATTTATGCACATTTTCCATCAATCTGAAGAACACTTTAATTATGCAAAGAACCCTTTAATTATGCAAAGAGTTCTTTGAGTGTTCATGGTTCTCTGTAGAATCTTTACTAAAGAGCCCTTGCTGCACCATCTTTTCTTAAAAGTGTACTGTGTAGAACCATGGACACTCAAAGAACTTAAAGGTTTCTTTACATGGTGGAATGGTTTATCAGGCTAATGGTGAATGTGTTGCATGTCATTCTATATAAAGTCTTTTTGAAAATTGTTCCATATAGCACCAAAAAGGGTTCTGCTATTGTATACAAGCTTGATATAGTTAATAATAGAAAAACCCTTTTTGGTGCTATATAGAACCAATATACAACACATACAACTCATTCTCCATTAATCTGAATAACAATTTCATCCTACCAAGAAGCAAATAAGCATGAACTGGTTCTATACAGATCTCATGGTTCTATATAGAACCATTGCCCTTACTAAAGAACCCATGAATAACCATCTTTTTTAAGTGCGGCCACAGTGGATGACCACACACAAAGGCTCATGGCGCCCTCTGACAAAGGGACTGATTTTGTTGTTTATGTTGATGTTGGTCAGTTTAAGTTGTGTGTACATCTTTATTTGTTTTATCTGGTGTTGGGACTGTGGGTTTTGTGTGTGAGGTGGGTCACCGTCAGGGTGAAGAGTATGGCTATTTGTGACCTCTCCATGGTTTCAGTGTCCTGTATGAACTCCTTTCTGCCAGTGTGCTCAATAAAGAGCACTTCTTGCAAAAAATCATTGCTACCCCTGTGTTTCTTCTTCTGCCGATCCTACTTTATGTAAACAAAGTCATTTAAAATGTGCTGAAGAGAAATGCTCCATTCTAGAGAAACTTGCCGAGTCAGAATTCTTCACAGTGGTTGTGATAGGAACCAGACGTCTGAAGCATTTAAAAGCTCCCTCACAGAAAGTTGACAACAAAATAGTTGCAAATACGCTGCTTAATGTCTGAGACGCTGTTTTACACTACTTTGGAGATGAGATATAAAATATATTCATGGTGGAGAGATACGTCATAAGTATTTGCAACTTTTTTGTAGGGCTGGAGGTTAGGGAACCAGCCTTGTGACCGGAAGATCATCAGTTTGATCCCCTGAGCACTGAAGTGCCCTGAAGATAGGGCTGCCCACCGCTCTGGGCAAGTGTGCTCACTGCCCCCTAGTGTGTGTGTTCACTAGTGTGTATGTGGTGTTTCACTGCATTGATGGGTTAGAATGCGGAGGTGAAATTTTCCAGTTGTGGGACTAATAAGGGTCACTTAAGTCAAAATAGTCCTCAAAGAAAAGTTTTTATCAACATTATATATAAAAACTCAGACGACATGTGTGTTCACTGGTTGTTTTGGATAGTAAAAAAAATTGCTATATTTGTGCTATTTGTGATACCTGTAAACACTGTGACCCCTGGTTCCTATCATCACCACTGTAAAGAAATCTGAATTGGTAAGTTTCTCTTTCACATCATACCACTTTAAATGACTCTGTTTACATCTTAATGACTGAATTCTCCTTTAAATAATCTCAAATAGAGTTGTTTCTGACACTATATGACATTCAATGGACAAAATTCAGGTGTTAAGATGGCTTCTCCTCTGTTTTTAGCTATGTGACATTCTTTTCTCCATGTTTATAGATTACAGTGTGTCATACAGTGTCTAAAACCATATAAGTGAGTCTGTTTGAGATTTCTTAAATACTTGACGCAGTTTAAGGCAAGTGTGTCATGATTAGGCATGCAGTTTCCATAGTGCTAATTAATGGCTGTAAGTTTCTATCACTTGTAAGCTACGTTAGCCTTGTCGCCCCAGTGCAAAACCAAGGGAGCAAACCTCAACATGTCTTTGCATGTCTTAGAGAAAAATTAAGTAAATTAGATTTTTTGGTTGAACCATCACTTTAAAACAGACCTGAGTCACTGACTCATATTTGTCACCATTAATCACACTTTTATCTTCTTTCTAAGGTGCTAAAATTGTTGAAATTAGAAGAATGAATAAAGAACACTACAGTAGTGACTGCCCACAGCACTGGACTGCAAGGCCTTCTGATTCCCTACACATTTAATCCTTATATACACAGATTCATACTGACTTTGGTTTGGTAGCAACTGCTCCATCTATCCAACACAAATTGATCCACAAAATATTTCACTGATAATAACAAAAAAGTGGCCCATTACATTAAGTGTCCTTAATTAACATTATTTACTGCACCAATATACAGTACTGTGCAAAAGTCAGAGACCACCCTTTATTTATTTAATTTCCAGTCAAAATGGCCATTAAATACAAGATATGAATTTTTTCAGCATCAGGATAAAAACACAGAAACCCCAACAACTGAATATATAACTAACTGTATTCAGTGTGTTCACTCTCTACCTCTAGCTTCCATACTTTTCAAGATACTTGTTTTTCACACCTCCAAAAGTTCAGTCTTAGAAGCTGGTTACATTTTCTACATCTCACGATCCAAATAATCCCAAACACATTCAGTGATGTTGAGGTCTGGACTCTGGGGTGGCCAGTAGGGACCGCACTGCTCCCATTTTGGCATCCTTACACTGGCTTCCTATATACTATAGAATCCAATTTAAAATTCTTCTATTTGCTTTTAAGTCATTAACTGGAGTGGCGCCGTTCTATATAGGAGATGTGCTTCAACTCTATCCTGCCTCAAGATCCTTGAGGTTATCAAATCAGCTGCTGCTGACTGTGCTACAGTCTCAGCTGAAACTCAAGGGTGACCAGGCCTTTGCTGTTGCTGCGCTGAGACTGTGGAACAGTCTACCCCTGGACATTAGGTCTGCACCCTCTATGGATGCTTTTAAGTCTAGTTTAAAAACTTATTTTTATCGATCAGCTTTTGTCTCTGTAAACTGATCGTTGCTGAATTTTTGTTTTGTTATTAGATCCTATATTGTCCTTTTAAATATGTTCTCCTTGTACAGCACTTTGGGTTAAAATGTGCTTTATAAAGAAATACTTACTTACTTACAGTAAATTGTTCTGAAAACACCAGCAGCTTCTCCTTTTCTCAGTGAGGCTTCTTGAAACAGCTACACATCCTTTCAGACTCATAGTGCTGAGTTGTTTTCTCAAAGTGGAAGGATGGATAGAAACACCTGTGGATTTTTGAAGCAAGACTGGAGCTTGATTTTCTTCTCTCTCTCAAACATGAAAGCTTCATAGGCTGTTTATCTAAGAGGGGCAGTGTTGGTGGTCTACCAGGTCTTGATCAGTTGTTAGAAGTCTCTTTTTTTATCTTTTAATGTTTTTTTCAACTCCAGTTAATTTTTTTTTTATTGGAAAGTTGCTTATT